TCTATGACATTCGACAGACCCAATTTTAACTGGAAACGCGGCATTCCATCTTAGTCCTCGGGGGGACAACGCATCTGCGTTTTGATTCTTAATCGAGGATAGATGTAGATGTCTATGGACCACAGCATCCGCTTACCAGCAGATGAATTTGAATTATTGTACAATAGCCTACCGAACGAGGTATTTCACGAAATGATATTATGCACTTATGCCAGCACTTCTTCAAATCCTCGAAACACTTCTTAAAGTTCTCTTCTCTTCTTCTTTCTCTTTGGGATAACGTTTAGCTTAGCGATACGCTTTCAATGTCATCTATGCTTGTTGAACGACAGACCTTTAAGGTTTTCTTTATTTTGGAAATAAGAAAAAATCACACGAAGCTATGTCTGGCGAATATGGAAGCGGGGGCGTCGTCACAGTATTATTTTTTGCCAAAAACTAACGAACAAACAATGAAGTGTGAGCAGAGGTGCATTATCGTAGTGCAATAACCAAGAATTGTTTTTCCACAATTTCGGGTGTTTGTTTTCGGATTGCCGAGCCTATTTCGGTCTTGGCGAACCAGAATGCCTCCAATGGGCCGATTGAGCTTTAGTTTCAACGTCATATCCCTATATATATACAATATGTAACGTAATTAACGCACACCCTCAGACACCCCAATTAGTATATTATGTTATAATCATAATTCATACACTGAATTTTTAGTTAACATTTTTATGCACTGATTTATTTATCAAATTAGTTATACTAATTCCGGAAGAATGTTGTGGTCACAGTACAAATTTACGAACGCAAAGACTTTAACGTGCTTGAAATAAAGTTCACTTTTCTTTATTTTTATTGAATGACAGAATTAGTAATAATACAAATAAAACTGCACTCTTAAGTCTTATTGCCATATGTTACGTTCCATTTCAGTTTGTATTGACTGTACAGATTTAGTGTGACTATAATTTACGTAGTTTTAATTATTTTTGGGATAAAAAATTATCTATATTAAAAATGATAGGAATCGATTCAGTGGACGATTCTGAACAAACTACTTTCTCAAAGTGCGTTAATTATGTTACATGTTGTTATATATATATATATATATATATATATATATATATATATATATATATATATAAACCCATCTTTCGTCACCTGTTTGTAACACGTGTAAGTAATTCTGCATCGAATTTAACTTATTGTCATTCCTAAGCAACTACCATTCGCCGACGTTTTTGTTTAAAATTCATCAATTTTGGAACAAACTCTGTTGCCATATGCGTTTCATACCCAAAACATTCGAAAAATTCATGGCATTAGATATTCCAACATCATCAGCGGCATTTCTGATTGTGAACCATTTCTTTCACTTTTTCGATCGATTGTTGATGTGTTGGGACGTTTGGGGTGTCCGGGGCGTTTGTCAACTTCCAACGTCTTCACGGCCATCTTGGAAACGCTTATACCAGTCGTAAACTCTTGTTTTACTCATAGCAGACTCACCATAGGCTTTTAACATTTCACACATTTTGTTACACTTTAAGGGGTAATATAACCTCAAATGGCTTAGCAAGATCCTCCGTTATGCCGAAAGTATTGCAGCATTAATTTTGTAATAAATATATGGTAAAGTTGAGAATTAATGTTAAGGTTTATGTTAGACGAAAACACGATTCCGTAAAATTTTCTCGATAGAAAAAAAATCCAAAGTTACCTCCAAACTGAACAATAAACCGCTGTTATTCATAAAATACTTTAAATAAGATCATGAAACTTTGCATACTAAGTGAACTAACCATAAAGCAGTGCTTATGTTATTTACTTTTTTTAAAATATCATTAAGTTCACTGTAAAAAGAAATTACCTAAACTATCGGCGCGTAAGCTTGGTTCCTGTCGCTCCGTTAGTATTGCTCCGGCTTTTGAAGGGAGAAGTTGTGTCGCTTACGATCAGAAAACACATTACGCAACAGGAAGACGTAAAATTAAAATGGGAAATAACCGTTATAAAAATAAGAAGCGACTGGGTTGGCGTTAAGAAACAGGCATATATACGATAAACATAATGAAATAAGTATCTAACGACCTATCTACTTAGAGTATTAGTGATTACAAACATGTCGGTACATAGCATACGACGCGCGGGGAAGTGGGGGCGAAATTAGAATTTGAGCTGACTTATTCTCACCTCTTAAGTCATTTTTTACGCGGAATTTGATACAAAAACTAAAATCGCCGAGCTCATAAAACACGTCTCATCTTAGGGCTGCTACAGACTAAGTAAACAATGAATACAGCTGAACATTTTATCATACTTCAGGGGCGTGTGCACCAAGATAATAAAAATGATTGACAATTGGACTCTCGAAACCCGCGAAATTTAAAACTTCCCGTTATTTTTTGAACACACCGCGTACAATGCACAGGGCCAAACATCCAAATCCGGAACAATTATTTGTATGCTATACAAACACTTGTTCCGTGTGAGATTCGAAACCGCGACTCTCAGCGTTGCAACTCATTGCTAAGCTACTGCGCCATGGAGCTATTGATATACTCGTAGTAGCAGAACCGTAGTACATAGCAATTTATTTTGACATAATATATAAAAGTTGCGCAAAGGAACACCCGAGTCTATTAATTTTATTAAAATTTACACATTCAACTCGTAAAAGTTTCCTGAATTTGGTTTTATTCAATTCCCCAACGCCGAGCTCCAACAGTAAATTATCTACACAAAATCTTAATGAATTTATTCATAATTTAGTTCATTAGACAAAATAGATTGCCACGAAAGCGCGTACCCACGCAGCGAGAAGTAATTTATAATTCATTACTCCGGCGTACCTAGTGAGGCTTCCGAGATTGATTCGGCCCGTATATTAAATTGGGGTGTGTTGTGGAGTCTTAAATTTATATTACTCCTTGAATTATGTCTCAAATGGAATAGAATAGAAAAAAAATTCGGTACAGATAACAAGAATACTACTTATTGAAAGTCATTAAAACTTTACCACTGGTTCGCAAAAAACCTCTGTCCTGGGAAGGAACGGCAAGAAACCCAGCGGGACTTTTTAAATTAATGTATAATATAATTATATTTTTTATAATTAGTGTGAAGACATTTAGAAACAACATGGTAGCGATCACTTTATTCCCACTCTATTGTCAATCATGTACTCTAGTAGTATAATTTTGCTTAATAAAAAAAATTACTTTTTGATAGGTAAGTTTTGAATAATTTGTAGGACTTTTTGTAAAAGCGTATAATACATTGCCTCATAAAGGCATTACTGACTCTTTGGAGTCTAATCACTTATAGCTAAGTCGTGCATGATCCTATACATAATGTACATCACTATTTTTATATTTGATACGTTTTTATATAGGATCCTTTTTCGCTGTACTTCAATGTACGACAGAAGCAACATATGATATTGTAGCTACACATCTATATGTTTTATTTTTATTTTACCACAAGTATCCGATTTCTTTTTGCACACTTGTGCTGTGCTTAATATATCCGGACAGCGCATCCGTCCATATTTTTCTCACGTTACTTGGTGGTTTTACCAGTTTTCGGTGGTGTAGTTAGTACCTTACCTATATTATTATTAGTCCAAAGTTTTATTAATAATCAAAGTCAACTACTTGGATTGATATACAGATGCCTTTATTGATAGATTTTGAAATAATGATGCGATTAGCGTGAACCTTTGATCGTCGATTGAGACTGGCAGCCATGATTGAAATACAATGTGGAGGACATAACTGTTATACATATTTATTTCACGTAACGGTACCATGAATGGAGACGAAGTGTTGCAGATTACGCATTGGAATGCGTGCTGGAGCACGGGAGCAGAGATCCTCGTATCCCTATCCTATAGAAAGCATTTCACTGTGTGTGTAGGAATTATACGCCTTACTTCTTTCCACAATCGAACACCCAGGCGACGAGGCATCACCCCTTTGTTGTCGATATTCCACGCATTCGAACGACACGATTATCTTCGTCTTCCGTAATGCTAACAACAAAGGAGGGGACTAATATGCCAGCATAATATGTCTTTCCGTCCGCAAGAGATATCCTTTTGTTACGCTAAGGCTGTGCGATTTGGGGCTTCATCACCACTTTCCATCAGATGGGATTATATTTTAGCATTGTTTGTATACATATTTTTATTGTAACGATAGTAAAAGCTAGAAAGTCGGCGAGGTATTAGTGAAAAGGGAACTTAATGAGCTTAAATTTAATGAGAGATAAGAGAGTAAAGAGGGAAAGGAAAGAAATTGTTACTTTTTAACATAATTAATCTTATTACAGCAAAATTACATTAATTAGAGGCGTTATCTTTCTATAGCTTATATATTTAGTGTCATATAAAATTGTTAATATAACTTTATTGTCTTATTATGGTCTTTATTTTATACGTGGTAGAGCCATGCTGCAGCTATATTAGAGTTGCAGCACGAATGGGAAGGACCACACTCTCACAGAACATCAGTGTAAAATAGCAACTTTTTTTTAAATAAGATGTGCTGTGTTTCGTATAGTGAGTGTAGAGAACGGGAGACCCTTTTTATTGGAAATAAGACATACCAACTTAGTCCTTAAAGGTGGCAACACATCTGCATTTTGATTTGATTTTTTAATCAAGGATAGATGCAGATGTCTCTGGGCCACAGCATCCACTTACCATCAGGTGGACTGTGTGCTCGTTTGTCACTTAATTATTTAAAAAAAATTAAGTCAAATGTTATGATTATCTTTTAACGAAATAAATCCTAATTAGTTGGTATAAGGTTGGTATATTATTCATTTTATATAAGAAACAGAAAATACACATTTTTACATTTATGTATCTATTAGCACATATAGGTTTATCCTAGTCGGCTAACTGTTATTGTAGAGAATTTGTAGATTAAGGCATAGTTTGAATTAATTCTACTGTTTATTGAAATAAAAATTAAATAAACATATAAAAATAATATCTACGTTTTCAGGTGGAACGATACGCGTTCGAGGACCACACGCCGCCGAACATCGAGCTGATCCAGCCGTTCTGCGAGGACGTGCACAAGTGGCTCAGCGCCGACCCGAGGAACGTGGCCGTGGTCCACTGTAAAGCCGGCAAAGGCCGAACAGGTGAGTTTGTGGTTCATATACATAGTTCGGGAAATTACGACACATCTTCTCGTCAGGTATACCTCAAACTCTGAAAACGAGACTGTACAACCAGTGCGTGTTGCCAGTAATGACTTACGGATCTGAGACGTGGTCCTTCACTGCTGGCAGTAAGAGGACGAATGAGCATATCCACAGTAGAACCAAAGTGACCGACGTAGCCCAACGGATTAATAAGCTGCAGTGGCAATGGGCCGGCCATATAGCTCGAAGAACCGATAACCGATGGGGAAGAAAGGTTCTCGAGTGGCAGCCTCGTACCGGTAGGCGTAGTGTTGGGCGGCTCGCCACTAGATGGAGTGACGACCTGGTAAGACATGCAGGAAGTCGATGAATGCAGGTGGCTCAGGACAGGACCGTGTTTTGTGGCATTACTTGGGGGAGGCCTATGTTCAGCAGTGGACGTGTGAAGGGCTGTAATGATGATGATGATGATGAATGATGATACATAGTTATTATAACCTTTTTATTAACTTGCCGTCTGAGTATCTCTTTTCCGGTTCAAAATTTGTAGCACTTCTCGACAGCCGTTCGACTGCAATTTGACATGCATATGTAACTTCCCATGTGGGAGCCATGGTAGCTCAGATGGTTAGCGCTCGCTGTAAATCAGTACGCTAGCAACCCGGGTTCGATCTCCGCCGGCACCACTGAAATTTTTAATTGCAATTTTAAGTGCTGATTTATCACATGCTCGGCGGTGATAGAAAACATCGTGAGGAAACCGGCGAAGTTCAAAGACAGGTGAATGTAAAGTTCACCAACACGCATTGGGGTAGCGCGGCGGACACTTCCTTGCCCTAAAACCATTTCAGAAATGAGAGGAGGTCTGTGACCAGCAGTGGGGCGTACATAGGCTGTAACTTTAACTTAACTTTATGTAAATTCCATAAAAAGGCGTACGTAATTGTTTAAGTAATTTATATAGTTAATTTTAATGTAGTCATTTTGTTGATCTATAATTCTTTCATTTACAAATCTTATTGCACCTCAAAAGTAGTGTTCTCTGCTTACTTATAAGTTGACTTTTAGAGAACTGCTTAAGGCGTTAAGTCCGCCTTTGTACTATACTAATGAAGGACTCGGATGCTGGTCTTAGGAATGGCTATAACAATTGTTATTAAATATTGTTTATATTATATAGACAACTATTAGCTCTATTAAAACTCATTTTTTATGACAGCAGCAGTATCGCTAAGGCAATACGAGGTCATCGGTCGACATGTGTCGAACAGTGGAGTGCGCGGGAAATTTGAAATAGCTTGAAACATTTTACGAGTTATTTTATTAGTTGATATTATTGATTGATATTATTGATTGATTCAGGTTTAATAAGGCAAGCCCGGCTTTTCGGCTATAATGGAAGCTTCGCCACTGGTTCATGTGTAATTTATAAATGAAAAACACCACCATATAGTAGAAATTTCTAATATAACCAGGCCGGTCTCACTCCACGCTTTTTCACACAAGGCGCTAATTCCGTGAGGTATTCACGCGCGCGCGCACTCCAGTTGTCGCAAACACTTGATATTTATTTTTGAGTTTTTATTCAAGTATACCCTCTCAAAAAGCGTAGAAGTACTGCATTAGCATACGGATGCTTAAATAACAATAGGAATGTCGACTTTTAATTCTTTACTGTTCCTAAGGATACATGCATATGTAACTTCCCATGTGGGAGCCATGGTAGCTCAGATGGTTAGCGCTCGCTGTAAATCAGTACGCTAGCAACCCGGGTTCGATCTCCGCCGGCACCACTGAAATTTTTAATTGCAATTTTAAGTGCTGATTTATCACATGCTCGGCGGTGATAGAAAACATCGTGAGGAAACCTGCGAAGTTCAAAGACATGTGAATGTAAAGTTCACCAACACGCATTGGGGTAGCGCGACGGACTTCCTTGCCCTAAAACCGTTGCAGAAATGAGGAGGTCTGTGACCAGCAGTGGGGCGTACATAGGCTGTAACTTTAACTTAACTTTATGTAAATTCCATAAAAAGGCGTACGTAATTGTTTAAGTAATTTATATAGTTAATTTTAATGTAGTCATTTTGTTGATCTATAATTCTTTCATTTACAAATCTTATTGCACCTCAAAAGTAGTGTTCTCTGCTTACTTATAAGTTGACTTTTAGAGAACTGCTTAAGGCGTTAAGTCCGCCTTTGTACTATACTAATGAAGGACTCGGATGCTGGTTTTAGGAATGGCTATAACAATTGTTATTAAATATTGTTTATATTATATTGTTGAAAAAGTCTATATCTGAAAACTGCGTACATACAGAGCTTAGCTTATAAAATGCTGAAGGTAGGTGCTGAGTTAGTATAAGACATTCTCAGATCACATCTTCAAAATATAACACTTTTTGCTACGGGGCTTAAAAATATCATTAGCCCATAAGTTACGTTGTTGCGATGTAAGTTAATAATTTCGCGTACACAATTGCTTACAATCGTATTTAAAGGCAATTGTTCACAACAAAGAAATATATTATGGTGACTTGGTTGATGTGGAAGCTGGTGGCATAGCAACAAGTTTTACTTTCGTACATTCGTTGCGTTTCGTACCGTTTTACAATCAGATAAGCAATACAATAGTGTGCGCGTGCACGTGTTGTAACTGTAGAGTAATAGATTTTCACATATTATAACTTCAAAAGAATATTTTAAGAGATGGCATGATTCCATTTCAGATATACGGTCTTGCTCAACTTAAGTACATATGCGTTCAATCGTAACCGCTACCAAAGAATATAATATATTATCACCACGTAACTCTACTAAAATATATTTTTACCTATTGAGCTCTGTTTTTATCATTATTGTTGAGAAATTATTTAAAATATTTCTATAAGTATATCGCTTTGATTTTTACAGAAGATAGACCCTGCAAAAAGAGACATTAAAGTTCAAGTCAGTGAAAAAAAATATGACTGAGTATTGGGCGTTGTGTAAAATAACTCCCGCGTTTTTTACGTATGTCATTTCTTACGTTTCCGTTCTTACAAGCTACAATAATAGGTTTGTATTTATTAAATAATTCCTAACCAATATAAAAAAATATATTATGAATTCATCAATCTCATTGATCCATCCTATAGGCCTCCCAAATAGATCGCCTAGGAAGGATTTTGGCAAAGTTGCCACGCAACAGGTTGGCTACCGCCGTTTTTTATTATTTGGAGTTTTTATCAGATGCTGCTGCCTTCTGTGTCGGTTTCCCTCTGTCACCTATTAGGACACCCACGGGGCGATATGAAGCAGTGGATATTCTTGTACCGCTATAACACAGTTTGTTGTATGTATTTATAATGCCCACAAACAAATTTTCCGGGTCTGAATGTCTGTTCATGTCAGTGGCGAAGCTAGAGCTCCAAGCTAGGGCAAGCCCAAGATATAAATTGATAAAAATATGGATTGTTGTTTTTAGCAGTTTTATAAAAATACACCAATCTTGATCTGTCTCCACGCTTCAGTTTCATATTCAGTGCTGTCAAGGACGTGTTTAACAAAGCACACAGAAGGCATACCACTGCTAGATAGATTGTATTACATATCAGCAATTGCATAGCTTCGGTGGCTTTGAAGAAAGCCGTTTGGGTTTGTTTAAGCGAAAGAAAAACAATATTTACATCCAATACAATACATGAACAAAAATTAAAACACAAACAATGTACAAACAAACTATGTACAAAATTAAAAAAAATTATTTACATTCTAATGGATAAGAGATAAGATAAGTGGAATCGTCTCGCTTTCTTATGGAGATTTAATTACGTCCACGTAAAATGTTGGTGAACGTTTTAATTGTACCAATAACTGTTTTTAATTGCGATAATTGATAAGTCTGAAATACACTCTTAACCTTGTGTATTATCTCAACAAAGTTTAAAGATTTCCTCTCCGATTATCACTTTAACACACTTCAATTCATCACAAGGAACACTATTATCCTCCATTTTCATTAAAAATCTTTAAAAAAGCATAAATTAATTTTTTTTAAAAGGCATAAACTTTGAACTCGTAATATTAAATCGCTTAAGATAAGCACACAGAGTAAATAAACATTTAAACGTGAAATGAACTTGCAAACGTATTGCCCGCGCGCCTCCGCTTTTAACAAATTTATTCCCAAAAGCCTGGCTTTAAATCTCTATACTAATTGCTATATAAACAATCGTAGTTATATTTCATTATAGAATATTTTGCCATAGGTTAGAAAGAGAGCGATCGTCTTCTCGAAAGGGCCGTAAAAAGCCCACGCGAGCGAGGGAGACAACTATTAGCTCTATTAAAACTCATTTTTTATGACAGCAGCAGTATCGCTAAGGCAATACGAGGTCATCGGTCGACATGTGTCGAACAGTGGAGTGCGCGGGAAATTTGAAATAGCTTGAAACATTTTACGAGTTATTTTATTAGAATTGATATTATTGATTGATTCAGGTTTAATAAGGCAAGCCCGGCTTTTCGGCTATAATGGAAGCTTCGCCACTGGTTCATGTGTAATTTATAAATGAAAAACACCACCATATAGTAGAAATTTCTAATATAACCAGGCCGGTCTCACTCCGCGCTTTTTCACACAAGGCGCTAATTCCGTGAGGTTTTCACGCGCGCGCGCACTCCAGTTGTCGCAAACACTTGATATTTATTTTTGAGTTTTTATTCAAGTATACCCTCTCAAAAAGCGTAAAAGTACTGCATTAGCATACGGATGCTTAAATAACAATAGGAATGTCGACTTTTAATTCTTTACTGTTCCTAAGGATACCGAAAGTTAAGATATAATTATTTATAGGTATATCTAGATAATTACGTATCTAGTTACTGGCTCCATAGTTACAGATTTATTATTTGATAAGCGATCCGATCACAGCTTCGCAGTTTTCGATTTCTTGCGTGTAATGTCAATGGCTTTAAAATGTTCAGTGTGAGTAGACTTCCCAATACTAGTGACT